CCAGCCAGAACCTACAAAGCTACCTGGCTGGCTCCTGGGCTGCTGGAACTGCTGCTGCCAGCACCGCTGGTGTTGTTACCAGCACCAATACCAGAGAGGAACTGGGGGCACCCAGAGCAAACCACAGCCCCCCCCATGACCTTGACCAAACCGGGACCAAGGGCACCCAGCCACCCGGAGCTCCAAGTTCAGGAGGACCTCGGAGCCAGCACGGAAGCAGGAGGGGAAGGAGAGAAATGAGCCCAGACCCCACCGCTTCTGCCTCCACTGCTGCCAGCACCACCACCAGAGCGAAACCGGGGTGTCCGGCGCGCCTGCCGAGGGAGCCACAGCCTCCCCCCCCCACAACCCAGTGGAGCGCCGAGTATGGGAAATAGCCTTACTAGAAAAATTAACCAATAAACTGAAACTGACACGGGGACAAATAGAAGAAGACGCCTTTGTCGGACTTGCGTTCGACCGAGTGACTCTTCCGGTCAAGTCCTCCAACGTGATTAAAGACCTGAGCCTTTGATGAGGCTCCAAGCACATTTCCCCATTACGCAGAATATCCAGCACGCAGGGAAGGAGCCGAGATAGTATGAGCTACATTGCAAAGCGCATTTTATTTCTAACTATGCAGACAGGAAAGGAATAAACATGCTCTCTCTGTGAAAGCAGAGAGCAACTGGAACACAAAGGAACAGGAAACCAGTAAACATCACATCTGTCTCCTTCTTCCGTGAGACTTCCAACAGTCTGGAATGTCTCTGGAATGTAAACAGAGTCTTGTGACTCAAAGCACTGCACAGTGGCACAAACAGAAACTAACAGCCTTCACCCCAGTATGGCTCCCCTTTATCACATACACAGCCCAACAAGACATTGACAAAAATCCACCAACAGCATACAACTCAATATGGCTAACCTGATCCAAAACACCCACCCACCCCACTCACACATGAAAACAAAGACCACCACAGCCAACCACAAATGAACAGCCACACCCTAGGGCAACCCCAACCTCTCTCACCACCAAAGGAACACAAGTGAACAGCAGAGAACCTGCACAAGCAACGCTGACACAAAACCCCACATATATTAAGTAAAATAGAAACATCACCACCCGACCCCACCCCCACCCATCTTTCCCCCCTCCACCTCTTCCCCCCTATTCTTACTAATGTCTCAACAATTGAAACCGATTGGTAAAAAAAAAAAAAAAGGTACATGGGGGGGGAAATATGAGAGAGAGAGAGAGAGAGACATTGCACATACCTTTGTAAATCAAGAAAATCTTCAATAAAAATACATTTAATTATTTTTTAAAAAAAGATGAGCACCACAGCAGAGACCAACTAAGCTACTGAATGCCCAAGGGAATAAAAATGTATTGGACTAATGCCTAAAAACATATTGTGGTGCCAGGCAAGTTTCCCCCAGGAGAGCATTCCACAAATGGGGGCAAGGGAGGGACACCACTCCAAAGGCCTGCTATTTTACTGCACTGGAGCGCTCTATCTATCTCTGTCTCTATCTCTATCTCTATCTCTATCTCTATCTCTATCTCTATCTCTATCTCTATCTCTATCTCATCTCTATCAATCTCTATCTCTATCTCTACCTCTCTATCTCTACCTATTGATCGATCATTCGATTGATACAGATCCAAGTTGGCCAATTTCCTGTATTTAAGCACCTGTATTCCTTTATTCCTGTATGCCACCTGAACATACAATTACTTACTGAAAAAACCAATTACAATGATGTGAAAATACTGATTAGAAAAGTGGGACAGAAATATGTTGGGCCCCTTCAGTGCTGGCTTTTAAATTGGTCTTGAAAAGCCATTTATTCTGAGCTACTTTTAATTAAGATGCTGAGCTTTATTAGTGTTTTATATTGCTGCTGGTTTTAAACTGTTGGTTTCACATTGTTCTTATTGCCTGTTTCAATTAATTTTATAAAAGCTGTCTTATGAAATGTTTTAACTTTAATACTATAGCACTGATCTTTTGTTTTATTCTACTAATACCATGAGAGTGCTTTTACTAGGATGGTGGCCAAGAAATCATTAAAATAAAAAGAACTTTTTAAAATGTGATGGGTAATGGCAAGGACCAGAGCTAAATATGGTTACTGCCATCTTCTGTGATATTTATTCAGAAAAAATGAATATCCTGTGTAACTCCCAGCAATTTACAGAAATTACAGAATCAAAATGCAGTAAATGTACTGCTACAAATAAAGATAGAATAAGAAAAATACAATTAAAATCCCTCATTTAAAACAGTGCAGGCAACTGAGGATAGCAGGGTGACCTTCTCAAGTGGCCATAAACAGCCTTCAGGATAAGATAGTGGCTCACAGCACCCTCAGTTCAGCTGCCAAGGGACTGAGGCACCATCGCTGAACGTGACTCTGCAACTGCCTGGCTTCCCTGGCAAGCGAGGGTCAAGCCAATGGGAGACAGTGCTTCCGCGTTGCAGCCCATGGATACAATCCAGGAGAATACCTTACCAACAGTCTCAAAAGCAGCTGAGTTAGGAGTCTTGACAGGGACACCCCTGCCATCTTTCCTGGAGAAGGTCATCAGGGTAAAAAACAGAACTGAATCCAGATTGAAATGAGTTCTGACAATCAGTTTCCCTGAAAAAGGCCTGCAGCTGGACTGCCTGCCCCCAGAAGGAGTGTGGCCAACCAGGCAGGACATGGAATAAACCTCTGAATCCAGGAAGAGTTGTTTCAGGAGTGGCTGCCCCACTGCCTCTTTCAAGTTCAGGGGCCTTCAGCACCCTTTCCACCCCTCATATATCATATCAGATACTTATACCATCTTTCTTTGCCCTCTAGAGAGCAAAAGGTAGTCTTAGAATTCCTGAGAGCTCAGTATAAGGAGGATGGAGGAAAGACAGATTGCCCGAGCTGCCTCCTCTGAATTGGGGACCTTACAATGCCCACATGGAAGAGAGCTGAGGGGACCGGGTTCAAGAATAGGCAGAACAACTTCATCCTGCAAGCTTAGCATAGGTCTATGCAACCAAGAACTCAGGGGCTGGGTAGGATTGACTCAGACACTTCCCTATGCTGATGTGGAGTTGGGGGTGGAGGAGGCGGCTGCTTAATTTCAAATACATAGACACTAACAAAAAATTACTTTGCTGTCATTTTTCACCCTGCTCTAAAGTTTGATGCTCATCTAAAATTGCACTAACATAACCAGTCAACATTTCCCATCCATCCATCCACTTGGAGCCATGATGTTCTAATGAATGTAGATGTTATCGGGGGCTGTCCACTATAGAGCTGAAATTCTAAATCAAATCCTCCTGGTTTGAATTTGCTCATGAGTATTTGAATTTATATTCTCATTTGAATTTTCTTCCCAGTCTTTCTTCATTTTTTCAATTATGGAAGCTTTTAGAGTGGTTTTTTTTGGGGGGGGGGCTAAGTGATAGTGTGTGAAATATTTGATTTATCAAATTAATTGGTACTTCCTCCAGCTTCCTCCAAATTGACTCTAAGTAAAGTTGAATTTGGTGAGTTAATACCATTATTACCTTAAAACCCACTATGATTCTTTAAAAGAACTTCTAAGTCTACTTTCAGTGTGAAATTTGAACACACAAACATGACATTCAAAAAGATTACTTTAAAATCTTGAAATGTTACTTCATTTTGGATTTGGATGTCATTTCATTTCTGTTCTGGTGCAGATACCAGTTCTGAAAGGAGAAGCCATGCCTTTTGTGCACATCTGCCTGCAATCCTTACACTCTAACACAGGCAACCTAAGGCCCATGGGCCACAAGCAGCCCATGGGAGTCGTTTAACCCACGAGCCGCCCACTCAGCGAGTCCCGGCTTGCGGCGCTAAACTGGTGCAGCACGGTGTGGGGACTCACTTCTGTGGTAGCAAAAATTGCACCTGCGTATGTGCAGACTCTGAAAAACACATCTGCGCAGACCCTGGAAATTGTGGGCGCACACGTGAGCCCACGGAGGGATCTCCACTGGAGTGAACCGGCCCAGGCAAGGTAAACCTTGCTGACCCCTGCTCTAACACCTCTCGTCCTGCAGCAAGTCACCTATTTCTGTCACTTTGGTCCATAATTCAGGTAGGGGCTTGTGCATGAAGTCATGGTCACGTGACATGCTATAACCTCTCCCCAAAAAAGTTGCAATTCACTCAGTTATCCTCCTGCATTCCTAGTTTAGCATGCAAGTGCTGTAATGACAGTGAAAGATATTGTCTTCTGGAAGTACCCAGTCTGGTCGCTCAATTTCATCACGCTAAATCATGTGGGACCTCCAAAGTCTGGAGCAGCCCCCACATGGCATTTACCAGGCTATGAAATCAGTGTCATTTCTCCCTTTCTAGGGTCTTCCAGGTGAACGTGGTTTGCCAGGACCCACAGGAAAACCAGGACCAAAGGTATGTCTGTCTTTATGCTGTGTGTGTTGTACATTCCTCTGTGACCTCTGTTTGTTCACCTGTGCCCAGTGCTCTCCATTGGAGCACAACACTGTTCTCATCTACATAATTTATGTGTTGGCTTCCACTGATCTCATAGCAGGACCTTTTTAGACTCTGCCTAGAATATTTTCTAAGGAACAGCCCTGAGGCCAAGCTGTCTTCAAAGCTTTTGTTCTCCCCTCCACCCCCCTGCCCAATCTCTAAGTTATGTAATTTCACTACTACTAAGAGGCAGGGCTGTTCACTAGAGACTACTGTTTCACTTCAGGCTATTGTTGAAATCACTTGTACATCCTTTGGGTGGTTTAGCCATGATTACTGCTTCTTTTTGCTGTCAGTTTCTTGCTTACAGTGCAGTTTCCTTTTAAATGATGTTAATTTAAATGAAAAACTTTTTGACGGTAAGAGCTGTTTGACCATGGGATGGAAGGTGGTGGACTCTCCTTCAATGGAGGTTTTTAAAGCAGGTCTTGGATGGCCACCTGTTCTGGATGCTTTAGCTGAGATTCCTGCATTGCAGGGGGTTGGACTAGATGACCCTGGGGAACCCTTCCAACTCTACAATTCTATGATTCATAGAATCATAGAATCATAGAATCATAGAATCACAGAGTTGGAAGAGACCACAAGGGCCATCGAGTCCAACCCCCTGCCAAGCAGGAAACACCATCAGAGCACTCCTGACATATGGTTGTCAAGCCTCTGCTTAAAGACCTCCAAAGAGGAGACTCCACCACACTCCTTGGCAGCAAATTCCACTGTCAAACAGCTCTTACAGCTCTTACTGATTCTATAGGTTATTTATGAACAAAGAAAACAAGAATATTAGACCATACACTCAGTTACCACAACCCGCTCCCCAACTTGCTGCTTTTCCCACAGGAAGTAAAATTTTGATATGGAAGAGCATTCTAACGTGCTATTCAAAATCGAATAGTCACAGGAACTCTGCCCCAAGTCAGCCATCTGAATGAATTACTTGGCTCACATGAATTTCTAATCCTTATTGTGCCCCTACTGAATGAGAGCTTCTTAATGCTGCCTCTTCAACCTTATTCCTCTAAGACCGCTTTACATGCTAGTCCCCGACATTTATTGCAATCAAAAGCTGGGATCTTTTTCTGCCACCCCTCAACAATGCTTTCTTCCCACAGGGTGATTCAGGCCACGATGGAGCCCCAGGAATTGTTGGGGAAAAGGTAAGCTGAGGAATCAGGTCAGTGCAAGGGAAGGAACCCTGGAGAGGGTGATATCAGCAGAGTTCAGTTTCCTGCTTTGGCCGAAGAAGCTATAATGTCTTAGATGCCACCAGAGTTGTGGAGGGCAAAGTTTTACTCTAGGTAACAGACCCATGCTGCAGTGGGTGGGAAGAACAAAAGCTGAATAGAAGAATACAAATGCCACCAATGAGGTCTAAGAGGTTAAGTGATAGAGATGGGCAGGAGGAGGTCAAAGGCAAGGCAAGGAAGATGGAGAAAACCTATCACAATCACGTTTCCCCTTCTCTTTCCTCAGGGTCCCTCCGGTCCACAGGGCCCTAATGGATTCCCAGGCCCCAAGGGCCCACCTGTAAGTATCCCACGGACCCCCAGGCCCAAGTTCCTACTTGTCTAGAAACATGGTGTTGGTAGGGGACAGTTGTCCCATGAGGCATTCAAACACAAGAGTGCCTTGTGGAAGAAAAATGTACAGTCTAGCTGTTTTAGGCCGACACTTGAATTAGAAGTGCAAAGAAAGCAAAACCCAGTTTAAGCATCTGCTATGGAAACAGCCTGAGATAATATTGTGTCCTTTACAAGATAGGACACAAGTATGTAAGGGCAAAGGGGGGGGAGGAGCCTGTGGTGACAGCCAGAATGACTCCCTTTTGCCTTTGAGGTTTTGACTGTAGTATGGGGAGGGGAAAACTAATTCTTTCTTGGAGGTACTCCTCAAGAATCTTAAGAAGCCAGTCCCTGCCTCACTTCTCCTATAGGAAAAATGCTTTTAAAGCCAGTCTCTATCTATCTATCTCTCTCTCTATCTATCTATCTATAGTCTTTGTTTGACTCTGATTCATATAACAACTTGCAGTTACTTGTATATTTTGTGAGATGTGTTGTATGGTATATATATTAGTTTGAAGTGGCTTATTCTTATATTTTGAATGACATCATACTGATTATATATTTACTAACAGTTATTAGCCAGCGAGTTGCGTTTGCATTTTTGTGGATTGTCACATTTTGCAGATTGACACATTTTGTGTCTGTTCATGGTAGCAGTGCTACCTTTTGATATCTAAGCTTCTGATTTCTGGTCAGTATTTGTTTGAAGGTGAATTTCTATTCAACAGTTCTGAAGAAATTTGTTCAAATTGAAATCTACCCCCACCCCCATTTGTTGTTGCCACAGGCGATACATTCTGACAAAATGAACTTTATCTGCAACTTCTAACTGTATGAAAGAGATGGGGGAGGGGGGAACCAACATAAATTGTGAGGCATGTTTCTATCACAAAATTGCAATGTTCATTTTGAAGATTCCTGGAGAGTACCAGGTGGCTGATCATATTAGATCTCAGTTAAAAGAACACGGCCTGAGCTGTCTTATTCCCATCTCTGCTCTCTGGCGTTTAGACTGGGGAGCTGTCCAGCAGGGTCGTCTTCATATTCCACTGCCTTCCCCTCTCCTCCCATGTTCTTGATCAGAGCACTTGAAAGAGCACAATCCTTGTCTGCTTTTGGAGGACCCATGATCTGGTTTTCATAGGCTTGAAATGTTCCCAACTGCTAATCTTTCTCACAGGTTTTTATTACTTTATTGCATTGGTTTTATTAATCTGCCTCAGCACAGGCTGCCCAACATGTGTTGCGTTGTGAAATGGGTACATAGTTTCACAACAATCTCATACCAAAAGACAAAAAGTATTGTAGGCAGTACCATGAAGGGCAGTTGTAGACCAGACTGAGTCCTATGACACAAACCTTTTGCACACTTTCAAACTTTCTGATGTGTGTTTGGAGTGTGCCTGCAGCTGTCTAAGGAGGGATTCTTGGGTAAAGGATCCCTCCTGGCCATCTGAGAGTTTTCTTTTAACTCCTGCTGCTTGTAGGGCCCTGCTGGGAAGGATGGTTTACCGGGACATCCAGGTCAGCGTGGTGAGCCGGTGAGTATCATTTCGAGCACAGTGCAAAGTTGGTTCTAGTCATTTGGGGGCTCTAGGCAAAGGCCATACATTCCAAGTGTTCTTTCCCTGTAACCTCAAACGCTCTTCTTGGCCTGCCTATACCAGCACGGGAGCCTCCACCCTTTTGTCTTAATGGGCTTTGCATGCCACTGCTGGCTCTCCACAGTGCCTTCCACTTCATTGCTGGAGCAAAGGAAAACAAGATACAGTTTCCAAGTGAACAGAACTAGCTGATCGGGCAACAGCTGAATCTCTGTTTAGTAATGGAAATGGTGAGGCAACTGTAGAGCTGGGCATATCAAGCAGTTGTTTGGCAGTGCCTTAACAAACTCAGCAAATGTTCCATATTTTGAATGGATGAGTGGCCATGATTGAGATCTACGTGGGACTCCTTGCTTGGTGCCATTTCTTTGGATCCTGACCTTCATTTCCCCTCCCCTTAGGCAAACCGATTCAGATGGCCCGCCCCTGCCACTTAATGTATCCAAATGGTTTCCAGAGAGTGGTAGGGGATGTTTTATCCCATGTTGATGGCCTTTCAGCTGATTCCCTAGTGACCCGTTGGAATGCGGAGTTAACCGGGGCTATCAACTGTCTGGCTCCGAAGTGCACACTCTGAGTACATGGAGCCCAGATAGCCCCATGATTTTCTCCAGGGCTGAGGGCGATGAAACAATTGCTGAGACGGCTAGAGTGCCGGTGGCAGAAAACTCATTCTGAATTGGACCGGACACAAGCCTACCAAGTGGCGATAGCAACAGCAAAGAGGACCTTCTTTACCACCTCAGCTGCATCTGCAGAAAACAGCAGCAGGAGACTCTTTCAGGTGGTTCACAATTTAACAGAACCACCTTTGCCCTTGGGGCCTAGAAAGGACCCCAAGATCTCCTGCAATGATTTTGCAAAGTTTTTTTGCAGATAAAGTCACTCAGATTCGGAAAGAGGTAGACTCCATCATGGGAGCAGGACCGGGGTGGGAGAATGCTAGAGTCCTGTCTAGTCGGTTTCATGGGATCAGTTCCAATCTGTTTCCTCTGAGGATGTGGACAGGCTGCTTGGACGAGTGAAACCGACCACCTGTCCGCTTGCTCATCCTGGCTCATAAAAGTGAGCCGGGAAGGGCTGGGCGATGGGCTCTGCGGGGTGGTGAATGCTTCCCTCTGTGAGGGAGCCTTCCCAGACCCACTGAAAGAGGTGGTCATTAAACCGATTCTTAAAAATACATCTTTGGACCCAGCCAATATGGCCAAATATTGCCCAGTCTTAAATCTTCCATTCTTGGGCAGGGTGATTGAGGGGGTGGTTGCTGAACAACTCCAGGCATGTCTGGAGGATGCGGACCATTTGGATCCCTTTCAATCAGGATTCAGGCCTCACCATAGGACTGAAACTGCCTTGGTCACACTGGTTGATGATCTCTGGCGGGCTTTGATACCATCGGCCATGACATCCTTCTGGTATGTCCCAAGGGGCTGGGAGCTGGGGGCACTGTTATACAGTGGTTCCACTCCCTCCTGGGCCATGTACAGAAAGTGGTGGTGGGGGATGAGTGTTCAGGCCCCTGGGCTATCACTTGTGGGGTACCTCAGGGTTCCGTCCTCTCCCCCATGCTTTTTAACATCTATATGAAGCTGCTGGGAGAGATCATCAGGGGGTTTAGGCTGGGTGTTCATCAGTATGTGGATGATACCCAGCTCTATCTCTCTTTTAAATCAGAATCAGTGAAGGCGGTGAAGGTCCTGTGTGAATGTCTGGAGGCAGTTGGAGGATGGATGGCAGTTAATGGATTGAAGTTGAATCCTGACAAGACAGAAGTACTCTTTTGGGGAGATGGGGTGGGCAGGTGTGTAGGACTCCTTGGTCCTGAATGGGGTAACTGTGCCCCTGAAGGACCAGGTGCGCAGGTACCTTCTTGGTAGTGGCACCTGCCCCGTGGAATACCCTCCCATCAGATGTCAAGGAAATAAACAACTATCTGACTTTTAGAAGACATCTGAAGGCAGCCCTGTTTAGGGAAGTTTTTAATGTTTGATGTTTTATTGTGTTTTTAATATTCTGTTGGGAACCACCCAGAGTGGCCGGAGAAACCCAGCCAGATGGGTGGGATATAAATATATTATTATTATTATTATTATTATTATTATTATTATTTGTTATTTGTTAGGGTTTTCATGGCAAAACTGGCCCACCAGGACCTGCTGGAGTTGTGGGACCACAGGTAAGGAAGAAAAGCTTTAGTTCTCATGATCACAGTCAAAACAACAAAAGATATCAGTAGCCACCAGATGAAGAATAGATGGTAGTGCCTGACTAGAGATGAGGGGTTCAGAACTTCACTGTGGGGTCTAGAACCTCCTTTGTGTGATCCTGTGCAGAGGGCAGATTCTGTCAGGCCTTGGCCTTGCTCTGAGTCAGGCTGCAGCTCGGTCCAGTTGAGGCACAGGCAGATAAGGAT